AGATCCCCATAGCGCGAATCCTGACACACATAAATCCCTCATGTTTAAATGGAGCTGTGAATCAATGGCGCATAATTCGGAAAGTCTCTGAACAGGGTTAACTGCTATGGATTCTGATACATACATACATACATACATACATACATACATACATACATACATACATACATACATACATACATACAAACAGAAGCCCCAAACTTGTGGATTATATATAACCAACTTGGCTGTGCACGCTAACGCGTGCAGTATATGTCGGCTGCCACTTATGCACGAAGGAGTCATTTAGCGGAATTCTAGATAATCAGATAAGATAGTCTCTCCAGATTCGAGCGCTGAACTGCTGAGAGCATCACGCTCCACCTTAGTGCAAACCCCTCCCACTATGAAGTTGTCCACCCTTCTTTTGACTGTTCCTAACCACTTTTCCCGCGTTCTAGAACGTTTTTGAAGAGGGTTATGAATTAATGATCCAAGCCCCACCCACTCTGGGGGTCTGACCACATATGTCTCATTACCACTATACACTTTTTTCCGCATTCTAGAGTGTCTTTGAACGAAGTTCCACTCATTTTCGAAAAGTAGCTTTCACCTCAACGCACGCCCCGCCCATCGTGGCTTAGCTTACGCTTAGCTTAGCTCACTTAGCTTACGCATGCCCAGCACGCATAAGGCCTTGCGCACTCTTTTTATTTTTTTTTCCTGGCCACGACGCCCTCGCTGAATCGAGTTATGAATCTCTGTGGTAAGAACCGACCACTGCGAGAACGCTCTGCCCACCATCGGTAATTTCCTTTTATTTTAATTTTTGGCCCGTCTATCACCTTTGTACATTTTTTCCAAGCATCTGGAATGTTTTGAAACCGAATGGAAAGAATTTGCCCATGATACCGCTCTGTTCCGGTACATGCCCCGCCCCTTGAGGCGGAGCTCCGCTATGCTCACATGTGCTCTGTTGCACTTACCCTATGCTTAACCCATTCCAATCTTGACCCGACCTCTCCAGGTGTTTCTTCATTTTATATCGAATTTTCGTACAAACAAACAAATAACAAACAGACAGACAGAGCGCTTTATATCTAGTAATGATAATGATACATAGTAAGGATTAGGGACCCACATGGGGGAGTAGAGT